TAGGCTTAATGATCAGTATATACTCGAATGAACTCGAAATAATCAAGGCATTGATTTAACGCCAATGAACTTTACTATAGAATCATTTGTCAAATATGTATGGTCAAATTTTAGTTTATCTTAATTGTACAAGATTATTAATTCTAGTTAAATCACATTTAATTATTTGATACCTTTAGATCTAATTTAATCATTCTTACTTAGATTCTTAATACTTAGACTAGCTTAACTATTACTTGGAGTTTTTTAATTTTACATTATTGAATGCATGTATATAATAATTTTTGGATCATAAGTTTTTTGACCTCTTACTTAAAACTTATAATAATCAAAAAGAAATAAACTGAGTGTGAAAGGCAGCGATTGTCTATAATAAAAACCCAGAACTTTAGCATAAAATAGGATTCAATTTAATAAATAACAAATTTAAAGTTTAAAGGTGATAGGTATCATACCTACTTATTTTAAATTTGTTTTGGGATGAGGCGCAGATAGTAGTGGGAAAAGATCATCTTGTTTTGTAGGATCACGAACATGACTTTGAATTTGCTCATACAGATACCACTGTCGCTGTGAAGTCAATATTTTTGCTGAAAGAGGTGCTGGAAGATTGCATGACAGAAATAAATTTATTTTATTTGGCTTTATTAAGGTTATTTGAGTTTTAGTTACACAAATTGCTGATTTTATTTCTACGTTTCCAGGTTTTTCCGATGAAAAAATAAAATGATGCTGTTTTAAGATTTGTGGAACATTTACAAATAATTCATTTAGAAATTCATCCCATTTATAAAATTTAACTGATTGAGTGCCGTTTAAATCATAAATTGATTGTGCTATATTATAGCCTCCAACAGTAGAATTTTGAACGACTTAAACCAAATCTGCTAAGTTATCTACTTCAGAATGTCGAAGCTTTAATTTGATAAGTCCAAAAAATCTATCTGATGAGAATTTAGTATGACCAGCCACCATAAACGAATATATGATTCGTTTATGCAAACTATTTAAAACACACCATGCTAAATATTTCATCATTGTATTGTTTTTATTTTGCTCCGGGCAGTTGTCAGCATGGATAACAATATACTTCTCCTCCAAACCGTGATTTTCAAAATAATGATGAACTATCGAAATAACAGCGTTTGCACCTTTTCCAACATCCTCATTTTCTTTAATTAAATAATTTGTCTAAAATGTAAATTTTATTTATTGAAATTCTAACATTAAAGTATTTTAACCTTTTGAAAATTAGTTTAAATAATGAGTACCTGCCGTGGAAAAGTCTCCTCACATATTCCAAAGATTGAAATTTTATATAACGATTTGAAATAAATTGACCTCTCAAAAAATAATAAATAATGAATTTAATTATTTTATTACATATAAGATAAGTACTATTTATTTTCCGCAATGGCAGGAATATGAGGTACATCCCTTATCATCTGCCTGAAGGGCCTATAGCAGGGTGGAGATCTACTAGGTTATTTCCCTGTAGCGGCGAAATAAGTGTATTATTCTTCATTTTTATATGATGTCATGACAGACTTTACGACTCATAATCACTATTTGATCAATAAAAAATTGAGTTTCTAGCAATGTTTGTTATTTCCTCAGTAATGCTTGTTATTTCCCTAAAGTCCGGGGAAATAACAAACATTGCTAGAAACTTGATTTTTTTACTGATTAAAGTAGTGATTATAAGTTGTAAACCCCATCATGCGATCATATAGAAACATGGAATAAGTACTGTAAACTGCCATATATAATAATTACCACATTTTATCGACAAGCTTATTTTACAGACAAGTTCATCGTAGATAGTATATTTGATAAGCAGCTCATTTCACAGATAAAAGTAATTCTAGTTATTTTCGTTAGGGTTAGGTTTATAATTAAAGTTCAGGTTAGTGCAATTTATAAAAAAACTTGGCAGTAAAATAAGCTGTCAGTGAAATATATTGTCTACAAATAAACATGTCTGTAAATTAATCACCTATTAAATAAGCCTGCTAGTAAAATATATGTCTTTTAAGTGATTGTCAGTAAAATGATATAGACCTTTCAACTATTATTAATCCTAATTTAATTATTAGAGACTCACAGGTCTATTATAATTTAAAATTGGTAAAATATACTAAATCCGGATTTTGTATATAGCAGTTTATGGTATTGCTATGTAATTTTTTATTAAAACTTTTCAAATTAAGATTTTAAATAATAATTACTTCTTGCTGTGAAGAATATGGAAGATGTACAGCTTCGGCAAAGTTTCACGAGACATGGTTCTCAAATTCTAATGAATTTGATACGCCCGGGCGTAAGAGCTTAGATATATCATTAAAAAATCTTAATTGTTGTTTTGTATTAAGTATACATCACCTAAAATTTAATTTATATAAAATAAAATATATAATTGTTATATAAAACTATTATTATGAGTAAAGATTAGGTCCGTTAAGATGTTTTTACTTAGAAGGTTAACTTGGTTATCAAGGTTCATATTATTTCAACGGCAATCACTTCGAAGACACCAACAAGCTTATTTTACAAATGATTAATCTACGACAAGTTTATTTTGTAGACAGTATATTTCACCAACTCATTTTACTGACAAATTTTTTTATAAATTGCACTAACCTAACTAATTCTAAACCCAACCCTAATAACAATAACTCAAAATTGCTTTGTAAAATAAGCTGTTAGTAAAATACACTGTTTATAAAATGAACTTGCCCGTAAATGGGTTGTCTGTAAAATAAGCTTGTCAGGTGAAATATGTCTTTAAAGGGATTGATTAGAACTAGTTGACCAGGTTATATTCAGTCATTCTAGTATTGCTCATAATAAAATATAAATTACATTATAATTAAAGCTCAGAATCACTTAAGTTAATTTTATATTAAGCGATTAGCAGTATAGCAGTAATTTATAATTAAGCATTATGCCTCTAACTCTTTCAAAAAAAAAAAAAAAAACATATCGCTATATGAGTTAAGTGTAAGTAAAGTAATGTCTTATACTAATATTAAAATAGCTCTTTATTATTACCATGTTCATGTGCTTTAATTATGATGTAGACTACATTTTTATATATTTTTAGAACAATAAATTTAGGCCTAATTCTTACAGGTAAGGCCATTGATATTATTACGACTGATTTTACACACAGTATGCAACGTATAAAAAAATAATTTTACAATACTGGATCATTCAGCTAGTACATGTTATGATTATAATCCAACGTCATTTTTACTAATAAAAATGGTATTGGATTATTATCATAACATGTACTAGCTGAATGATCAGTATTGTAAAATTATTTTTTATATGTTGCACACTGTGTGAATAATTAGTCATAATAACATCAATGGTCTTACCTTACCTAATTTTAATTATGAATTTTCTTACTTATAATACTCCCATTCCTGATGTGCCTAATTGATATGATTATTCCATTGTTGAACATTTTGATCTCGTTCACTTTCTGTTCAAAATTGTGCATTAAATCACATGTTTTTACACAGCATGCATAGATCGGTTCGAGGTGATAAAAAGTGAATTTCTGGTACATATTTTTTCCAAATTCATACAAAAGACTATTGACTAACATGTAAATCAGATATTTCATCTAAACTTGATTAATAGAGACGGTATAGTCCAACGTAGCTTTCACTTGCAGGAAAAAATGTAATAGCTATAGTATCTTCAAGAAAATGACAGCCTAATAAAATTTTTATTTATGTATATTTTATTAATTAAAAAAAAAAAAAAAAAGTATTCATCGTGTTAAAGCAATTTTAAAGTTTACTCTTTATTATTAAAAAAAAAGATTGATCTAATTAATATCACTATATTGTACCTGGTAATGGTAATCCATGACAATTTGCAAAATTAACAATAAATGTAAGAACATTTAAAATAGTTGCAAATGATAATGCGTGAGATGATTTTCTTCCTATTAGTGTGTGTACAATTGGTTTAATACTATTGACTTAGTAATTATTATGAATATTTCTCCATTTTTTATCTAATAGTGAATATACAGTTCGAAAAGCTATTTCGCAAATTTCATCATTATTAAAAGTATATTTAACTGTTAAGTATTGTTTTCCTTTGCCACGTAAAGTCTCATTAGAACGAGTCATTGTATGAAGCATTCCTAAGAGAAATATATTATACTCTGTTTTTGATAATTTTCGAATAATATCAAAAATTTGAAATGCTGATTCATGATCAATTTTATTTAAGCACATTTTAGAATTACAGCAAACTAAGGTACGAATTTTCAAAAAAAAAGCCTCCTTTTCCTGCTGATCTAAACGCGTCATCACTTTTTCATCAGTTTCTCACTCATCATCACCTTCTTTAATAGTATGTTGGGCAAATATTTTTTGAAACTTTTCAATTTGTAAAGTTGTAAGGATTTGATTATCGAATTGTTGTTCTATATTGCTAAACTCTATATTTTCAAGAGGAGATTCTTCTTTCTCTAATGTTTCTTTTAATTCTAACTCATAATCGTCATTCATTTGATAAAACATTTTAAGCTGATTAAATTCTTTTGCTAACGAATATATTTCCGAATGTGTCTCTAAAAAAATTGAAGAAACTAAAGTATGTATTAAATCCATTTTTTGAGGGTAATATTCAAAGAAGCAAAGCCCGATAAATAATTTATAAGCATAAAACTGATTAGACTATCATTGAACAGAGTAAACACAATGTCAAAAATTTTATATGTTATACTGTTACTTCATTCATGTGATTTATTATTAAGGGATACAAAGCATGCATAACATACATATTTGATAATAATCAAAGCACCTAAACTAAGAATGCTTTTTTGTTTTCAACAAGGATTCTCCAAAGATATGTGACTCTAAGTTCAAATGCTATCTAATTTAAGTATTTACAACAATTTAAGCGATTAAATCAAACACAAAGCAACTATCATGCTATTGTTAATATTCCGGATTTAATAATTATCATGTGCTCGAATTATCTCTCAAATTTAGTTATAGAAATACGATAAGTCTTCAATCAAGTTATTATCAATATATGGTACTCTTCATTGATGCAATAAATATGACGGATTAAAATGAAATTAGATTAAAATGAAATATTGTACAATGTAAAAAATAGACAAGTCACAGAAAAATAAAAATTTTTGAGGTGTATTTTTTAGGGTTAGAAGTTAGGGTAAGAGTATAAGTGGGTTTTAGAGGGTTAAATAGAAACCTTCATTTCATTTTAATCTGATTTCATAATGATCTGTGATAATAAATACCTATATGCATAAGTAAAAAAAATAAATTCTAATCTTAATACGTTAACTATAGATATAACGAAAATTTGGATAATCCGAAGCAGAGTTCTTGGATTTTTCTAGCAGAACCGAAATTTGATTATTTTCATGATATTGCTTGTGCTATTTTAGCTACTAGAAAAATCCGAGAACTCTAATTTGAATAGACAAGGGTAAAACTAGTTAATAATATAATCATTCATTACCTGTAGGTCTTTCATATCTATATCTTTTTGATAGTGAATGGATGCTTTATTTTCATCTTAATTCCAATTTTATATTCATAACAGAATCAAGCCAGAATATTCTGACTAGTTCACTCATAATTGCGGATTTTTGGTAATCAATGAACGCCTTTTCTTAATTTCATTCTATGTTAGTAATTATAGTCAAGTTAAAATATTTCGATCAGATCATTCAGATGCAAAAAATTTCGCTAATTAATAAATAGATTCTTAATCTAATTCCATGTTTATAACAAATAGCAAAGTCAAAAGATTACAGATAGACTATTCATACCTGTTAAATTTTCAATAAATGTGCTTATTTTCGTCTTAACTCCAACTCCATGCTCATAGCATTAGCAAGTTATTCTATGTTCATAGTAATAATTGTGCCATCTAGGTAAATCATTTATATCTGCACGTTTTAATAAACGAATGCTTCTTAACACCAATTTCATATTCACAAACCAGGATATTCCGTCTGAATCGTTCATGTCAGGTAATATTAACTATAAATTACTTGATACATTAGCATTAGATTAAAATATTAATTTGAAATTATTCAGAAGTATAAATCTGATTTAGGTATAACAGATATCAGAAACATAATGCGAGAGTTGAAAAACTGTAATAGTTTATAAGTAATGTACCGCACTAATTAAAAACTGGGTCTAAAACTTATAAAATACCTGGGTATATTGTATGACAAAGTATCTCTGTTACAGACTAATACAGTCTCTGAAACTTTAAAAAAAACTGCTTACAATTAATAGAACTCTTATGCTTTCACCTGGGTATCATACGTGGGATATAATAAAAATGGATTTTTTAATCAGTGCGATACGGTTGAGTACCTATTTATTAGCACACAGTCTTAAAGAAAACTTCAAACAAAATGCCCGATCAGAAAGAGAATTAGTCAAATAAAATTTATATTAAACTTTAAATTATTAAAATCGTGATTTTGATTGGCTTAGATATTGCCTCAACATTTACGATAAATTCTGATGATCTACATTGATTTACATCGATTTATATCGATTTTATATCGATAATATTTATCTGATCTTACTAGTTTTTTATATCGTTTTATTTATAACATAAAATTTTATTAAGATATCAACACTTCTTTTATAAGGTAGAAATGTTCCCAAGTCGATTTTGAATAAGTTAGGATTAAAAAAAAAATTTTGAAAAATTGTCATTTTCGTTCCTTTCTCCAGCACTCAGCCTATATCATCTCAACCCTCTCTAACCAACTGCTTTTGTAACAAATACCATACCTATTTTACCTTCAAACATTATACTTTAGAAATCTTCAGACCTAACACTCCTATACCAAATCCTAATATTCCTACACTCATAGATATTATACCTAAACAATTCCAAAAACTTCAAGAACAAATTTCTAAATCTCTAATCAAATAAAATACAGCCTTATTATCTCCTTTTTCATTCAATTATAATATTAAAAATACTGTTATATCTTCTACAAACTTAAATCTTTTCGAACAACAAATTCCTATTATAGCTTATTCCTATCATATTCATACATGTCTAGCCTGTCAAAAAAAAATATTCTCTGTATCTTTCTCTCAAATAAAAAGCATTCACTTCAATCTGAAACTGTTCTTAAAGGTTTTCTGGTCCACTCAGAATGCATTAAAAATATTCAAATCAAGCCTCTTCCTCAATTAAAACCTCTAACACAAACTCAACAAAATACCTATTATTTTATCAAATTTAGTCTCTTGTCTTCTGACCAAAAAAAAGCTCTACTCAAATCTGCTCTCTCTAAATTTACCAAAAAACCTCTCCTCAAAAGAGATACTTCAAATGACCTTGACTAGTTTAAAACCTTCCTCATAATTAAAGAGATAGAACAACATATCTAACTTAATACACAAGTCTCAATCAAGTTTTTTAACTTTCTAAAACCAAATCTTATCAATTTCACTTCAGGAAAAATTATCAAACTAGCATCTGAAAAAACTCCTGCCTCAAAAAGTAACTTCAAATATCTCATAAAATCAATAGCAGGACAACATCCTAACTTTCTCACAGACCTTATCTTCAATGCTAATTCAAATATTAACAAAGCAACTACAATTTTATTTAATATTATTCTCTCAATTTTCAAATCTTTACTATTCAAATTTACAACAATTCTCTTCACTAAACTAAACTACCAAAAAATCTTATCATCTTATAATTCAATTCCTCCTTATACTATTCAAAACCGTAATCTATTTGCTATTAACCTTGCCAGAATTCATCTCTTTCTTTATGATAACTACAAAACTATTCATACTAACAAATTCTTTGAAGACCTTAGCATTAAACTCAAAAGATTTCAATTACACTACTTCATCTTTGAAGACAAAATTCACTAACTCCTCTTTCAAATACAATATGACAACAAATTTAATATTAATGTTTCTCTCAATATTCCTAAACAACAATTTATAGAAACCTTTAGGATCCCTTCTCTCAAAAAACATAAAGAAGACCTCAACAAATAGTTCAAACCTTTCTTTAAAATCTGTAAATGTCAATTTTCTGAAATCGACCAAATAAAAACCTACAATCATATTAAACACGAAATCTCACTCAATCTTGCAAAGGCTTGCAAAAAACTTTTCCCTAATGATTTCAAAATAACCTCAATTAATTCTCTCTGTGAATATATAATCTTATGTACCAAAGCTGTCTTTTTCCATATTCATACTTGTACTGGCACTGACTGCAATATCTTGCCTACTGATACAGAACATACTTTCAAAAATATCTCAACCTTATTTTTTGATCAATTTTTTACTAAATTCCTAGTAGCTAAATCCTCTGACCCTCCTAAGGACAGAATTAGATAAATACATCCTACACTTGACTGTGAGCAATTTAAAAAAACCAATTAAATGAAGCATTATTCCAAACTCCTATACTAATTATACTATCCATAAACTAGCTAACTCAGCTGAACAAGAATTCATCAAAGAAAACAATACTGTAACTAGCATCAAAAGACGTACTTACTACTTCTATATCTATCTTAAAGCCTTCCTTATAGCAGTAGCTATAAATGAAAGAATATCTACTCTTAGCCAATATTAAGCAATTCAAAAAATTACCTCTAAACCTATAAATACACATCACCTTGCTAGAATCCTAACATACTTCTACTTACTCCAACAACCAAAACTCTCTATTGCTCAAATTTCTGCTGAGTATAGAAACTGGTTCTATCTTCAAGCAGAAAAAATCATCTTTGAAAAATTTAATATTTAATTTAATACTACTACAATCAATGATGATATTCTATTCACTACAACATCTTCTTCCTTAATAAAAAACAAAAACACCAAACAAGCATATGCTGATAAACTCAATTCAAATATTAATTCAACAACTTCTTATACCCCTTTTCAATGATTTCTTCTGTAGATAACATTAATACAACTGCTGCTTCTAGAATAACAATATTCTCCATTTATAGTAGACTATTTCTAGAAGAAAATGTAGTAAGTAGACAGGCGGACAAGTCCATTTGCATGGAAGACCAATTTTATGACAGCCAGAACCAATGTACAGGACAGGCTTTGGACTCTTGCATAACTGTGAAAACCAGGTATATAACGAGTGATTCTACAGAAGTACACTCTTACTCTTCAGCTTCTATTACCTCATCTCATGCTAAAGAAATAACTTGCTTTAACTATTTTTTACTAACTAACAACCTACCTTTACTAACACAAAATGAAACATTTGGTTTTTTTTTAAAACACTTACAAAATTCTTTCTATTTACAACCAATTAAAATCTCAATTAATTAACAACAAACAGAATCCTATATATATACTAACACTAATGATTCTTTACTTCCAAACTATACATTATTTACACCAAAAAAATTCTACAAATTCTACAATATACCAATTTGAACAATACTCAAAATGTCACATATTGACTCTAACATCATACTACAACCAAACTCTACCTCTAACTCTATAATTTATGAACCCCAAACTATCACTTACCTAGAAAATGAAATACAAGCATAATC